CATTAGAAAAGCTGATTAGTTTGGTCAGCCACACTAGGTGAAACTTGAGGCACGTTTCTGTTATTGGCTATACTGTCAAATGACTATATTTTGTATCTTCTGAAACATAGGTGTTAGGATTTCCTAGCTAAACTTGTATAGTACTCTTGTTCTTTAGCATTGTGACGGAATAATAATGGCAGCTATTGAAAATATTCCCTCAATTGAATAGATGAGTAAAGTTCTTACGGGGTATTGTCATACTTCATTTATTAGCTAGCTGTAAGATACTGCTGCTGCAAAAAAATATTTTGCCTTTCTCACCTTTTCTTTTTTCCCGTTACGATTAAAGGCTTAAGGTGGTTGGTTTGTTTGTTCATTTGAAGTTTTCCCTCTGTTCCCAGCTTGCTCAACTTACACCTTCAATTCAGCCTTCAGGCTGAATCCTCCAATAGGTAGCTGGTAGCATCCTGTGGTCTTTTGTATTTGGTGTTCTGAGATCACTGAGGTGTTTAAAAGCAATATTTAGTGCTATGCTTATACATTGTCTTGTGGCCAGTGGTGTCCTATGGCATCTGGAGAAGTCTTTGTGTAGAGCTTCAAGTGTCTGGCACCTCAGCAAAAAACCAGCCTGTGCAGTCGACGCTCCCATATTGGCAAGCAGCAGTTCCTTTGGCTGTTAAGATTTTTAAGGACTGTGCATTAAAACCAGCACATGCCGCTCTAACAGTATTTTTAAATGTGAATCAAAAAAAGCTAATGTTGTACCTAATTTGCATGCTCTAGCAGGCTGCTTTTTATTCCCCCCCTCCCGGGCTTTGAAAATCCACAGTTGCTGGACATGTGTAGCGGTGTTGGACAGGACGATTCTGAAGAGTTAGAGGTGGCTGCAGGCAACATCTTGGTACATAGAATTGTCCTCTTGGATTTCATCTTGGTAGGTCCCCCAGGACCTCTGAGTTTGCTGTCCATCATCTTTCTCCTTTTCCCCCTTCTACGCATAGTTGTAGCTGGGGTTTTTTTGGTTTACCAGAATAGTAGAAGTGGGTCTAGCCCTTAGCACTGAGGCCTGAAAAAAACAAAACAAAAACCCCACACCACCAACTCCCAATTCTTAGCACTGTTGTGCTGATCAGAAGCTGCTGCTGTTAAATGTCACAGTGCTAAATGCAGCAGGTGACTTCTTCCATGGGTTTGGGGACAGGCTTTTCTGAACAAGCAATATGCTGAAAGACAACTACAAAGATGCAGGATGCTCTTGGAAATCTGATATGCCTCTACCCAAGTTCATTTGGAAAGAAAATTACTACCACCGCTATCACCCAAATCCTCCCATCTGTATGCCTTTATTACCTGTCAGCTCTGGCAGGCTGAAGCAGCTGATCTCAGTCCTAAGCCCAATTGTTCTGTCTTCAGTTGGGATAACTCTGTCGCTTGGGTCCTTCCAGAGATGAACAGGATAGAGACATGAAACGTTAGTGCCTGCCTATCAGGAGAAACACTTCTCTTGACAAAACTAGCTTTGAAATTTGAGTGGTCTAATGAAGAAAAGTCTGTGGTGATTAAACATCTTGTGCTCTTTTTCATTTAGTCTGACTCTTAATGGCAGTGGCCCAAAGCCACATCCTGCACCATGATGAAATAAAGCCATGCTGTCAGCTCCTGCCTTCAAAAATGGAGCACTGCAATACTGAGTAGTTGCAAGGAAGGGTCTAACAGCACAGGCAGTTTTGGAAATGTGGAAATAAAATGCTGACCTCAGGGGACCTCAGGTTGAGCTTCAGTGTCAGGCATTTTGATGTCCAGCTGTGTGCAGCAGCTCAGGACATTTTGTGCAGCAGGGAAACTTTTTTTCATCCCAGAAGCCTCACTGGTTTGAGCCCGTGTTGCATAGTTGCGGTGTGTGGGCGGAGGACGTCCTATTTTGCTGTGCACCACACAAGCTTCATGTGCTCTCTCAAAAGGCCTCTCTGTCTTAGGAAAGCTGGGTGGGCAGGAGGGTGAAAGGCGGGAAGGCTGTGTGGCTAACGGGATGCCTGGGCGACGGGTGCCTCAGGCACCTTTCTGCAGCTGACGCCTTCTGAGTAGGAGGGTAGAAGTGGTGTGTGAACATAGTGAGAAGGTCAGTGGGGTTTGCTAAAGTAGAACTTTCCACTTCCTCAAAAACTTACGGGTAAGAGAGCTGGGCACTGGAGCGGAAAAATGGTTTCACTAGCCACCTAGGTGTGAGGCTCGCTGGTGCGTGTCCTGGGGTGCTAGATGCGTTTTACACGTGTGTCCTTAGCTGCTGAGGACGCTCTCTGGGGAAGGATACCTATGCATTAGCACTAATTTAGCCACTGGCACAGTCTTCCTATTGCTGGCATTTCAGTGATTTTTGCTCACAGGTAGGAGTGGAAAGAGATGAGCCCAAACCAGCTGGTGCAGGAAGTGCCGCTGTTTGGTATGATGGATGCAGCTGAGGTGTCTTTAAAGGGAAGAGAGCACATCCAGCCTGCAGTGGAGCTGAGAGGCTGAGTAGGTGGTGCAGGGGCAGAGGGTGGGGGAACAGAAGACCAGAACTGATGGAATAAAATCTCCATGGGGAATTAAAACCCTTAAAAGTGGGGCTTAGAGTGGGGAGGGGAAGCAAGCTTTGTTTTTGTGAGAACTTGCACTTAAATACTTGTGTTTTTTTTCTTTCAGTAATAGATTTTCATGAGAAACATCCAGCACTGCTACTCCAGGTTTAAAGATCCAGGCCCTGTCTAATGGCACAGCTGACGCACTCCTGGTGTGTTTAAAGAGGCACAGCCACCTGATCTAGACAGAGTTAGAGGCATGACAGATATTGGCAATTCCTAAGCTCATACGAGAATGGGGAAAAGCTACAGCTAAGTGCACAGTGAAACAACTCCATGTCAGGGTTTATACCAGAATAATTATTCTATTTATAAATTGTATCCCAAGACAAATATATGAGAACTGACAGCTGAGGGGCAGGAAAGGAGCAGAAAAAGGGGATAAATGTCTGTGAGTTAGAGAGACTGGAGGTAACAGGAGGCAGCTGGGTGAGGGACTAGATCCATTATTGTGCACTTTTCCTGTCTTATGATTAATAAATTGGGCACTGCTGAGGTGATGAGAATGTACTACTAATATTATTTTCTTTATTAAATTATATCACTTTTCACTTCTAGCTCTCTTAAAGTCAGGGTAAAAGATACTGTGAGCAGGGAGTGACACAACACCTTCAGTGGAAGAACTGTTGTGCTTGGGTGTGGTTTGGTTTTTTTTTAAATTTGAGCTAACTTGATACAATCTTAGAGCAGAATAGCTAATAATAAAGGAAGCAGTGTTCGCAATTCATTGAGCTTTGTGCTACACCCGCTATACTTAGCAATGCTCTTTAAGTTACACTTCAGCCATGTTTGGCAGCAGGGTGATAGCAGAAACTTCAGTGAATTATGGGTACTGCATCCATTTTGGCTAACGTAGTAGTTGTCCCACAAGAACAGCGTCAACACTTTCAGCAGTAAAGGGAGATGTTGCGCATCTTTATAAAACCTAGGGCAATGGGGTCCTGATCCTGGGACTGAACACTTATCTATAATTGCAAAAGATGTATGAGAAACATTATCCAGTCATTGCATTATGTCAGGCAACGTTGTTGATGAGAAAGCTGTCTCGATTAGATATGCTACTCGTACTTTAGAAAAGGTACTGGTGCTTATGAACTGAAAACCTGTTCTAATGGGGAAAATGTAGGAGCCTGAGGGAAGTGGATCAGTTTCAATGAAATCTGTTGAATGCTCCAAAGTAGAGAAGGGATCAGGTAACATACTGTTCTTGGAAGCATTTTAGAACTACCAATTTCACCTGGCTGTTCTGTTTCTTCCTTGGCCTGTAGATATGGGCACCTACAACAAACGGCCTGTGAGCCCTGACATTTGCAATAAAGGGGAGTAAAAAATACTAGATATTTTCACCAGATATTCTGCAATGGTTAAATAACTGTGAGAAAATAAAAATGCTTAAGGTGGAAGCACGTTTAAACTAATGGTTTGTTTAACCACCAGCAGCATTGAACAAAAAACGCTACTGGATCTTAGCTCAGAGGACCATGGTCTGTATTTTCAGAACAAAACTGCTCTACTGCTCCATCTAGTGTTATTTGGCCCCGTTAAAGGTAAGGGCTAGACCTCATTGAAGTAAACTGTATCTAATGGAGGTCTGATCTAGCAGCATTGAACCTCGTGTTCATGACAGGACACTTCCGTCCTTACGTTGCCAGAAGGTCCTCTGCCAAAGTCCACAGTAGTTGACTTGAAATCACTTCATATTAACTAAGTTTCATAAGCATGATAGAAATCCTTCTATAGAAAATTGGTCCCAGATTGGTGACTGAATTTTGTAGGAGCGCCTCAAGCAACAGGGACCTTCCCAGGGTTTTCCCACTTACTTTACTCTTTAGTGCAAAGTAGGTAGG